TATATATATACTACAGTTCAATACTTTTATTGCCATTTTGTTTGCTTTCTAATTAATATTACTTATTTTTATTTTTGCCCCAGTATTTCATAACTAGTTGAATTAAAAAAAATCTCGATCTCCTATTCAAATTCAATGCCTGCGTATCCTCCTATATTAACAGCAATTGGACTGAATAGGAGTTAGAAATAATTTTTTATATTAAAGGAAAATATTACAATTTGAATTTAAATCGTAGTATAAAATGAGTTTTAACTAAGCACTGCTGTGCATTTAAGTAAAATTCGCTTAGAATGCATAGAACGGTACAAAAAGAAATACAGATATTCTGATGGTGAACTTACCTGCTCTCAGTCTTTGAATAGCAGTTGAATTATAAATTAAGGGATAGGTGTTAACTGCTACATCTGTCAGTTCATCAAATATTGGAGGTACCCAACTTGGAATCTTTAAGTTGTATTTTTTCTGTGAACATATTTTGAAAATAGTAATAAATTAGCATGCAAGGAAAATGTAAAGTTGCACGTACCAATCAACTAATATATCAGTTTTAAAAAAAATAGGCAGAAATATATTTGAAAAGACGTAAAAATCCGTACCTACTTTTCCTGATTAATGAAAATTGTTGCGAAAATATAGTCTTTATAATATGATAAATATAAGTACTTCAACAGTTGCAAAACATTAAATTTGCGTTTGGCCACGACTAACTGGTGACTATCCCCACAAATAAGCATTTTTGTTTATCCGAATGGCCCACTCTGCAAAAAGTTTGAGGAGGTGTTGAATTGGTATAAATTCATGAGATGTCCGGTTTGCGAGGAGACTCCTAATTGAAAAATATTGGCAGTTTCTTTCTTTGGTTTTGTGCTTCATGTTGTTCAATATCTTCTCAGTTTCATTTCCTTTCGCCATTGGAGATATGTTTTTAATTAGAAATATATTTGTTCGCATAGGTCTGTAAATTTCGAAATCCTAAATTGCCCACTCAGAGAAAAGAAAGAGTTCGTGAGCTGGTACAAATTGAGGAGATGCCCGATTTGCGAGGAGACTCCAAATTGAAAAATATTGAAGTATACATATATATACTGTAGATGAGGCAGTTATTACTTTTTCTTTTCATTCTGTTTCATGTTGTTTATCCATTTGTTAGTTTTATTTTTTTTCACCATTGAAAATACGCTATTAATTTTAATTAAATTTCTCGGCGTGTAGGTGACAATTTTATCAGCACAAATAGCTCCCTCAGTGACTGGTACTAATCTTTGAGATACCCAATTCGTGGGGAGACTCTTTATTGAAAAGAATTTGCAGTTCTGGATACTTACTCAAAAGACATTGTTTTCCTTTTTCTGTTTTATTGTGTTTTATTTGATCATTTTTTTTTGTTAGTTTCATTTTCTCGTGCCATTGGATCTTATAAAACATTGGATAAAAATTCGCTATTCATGTTTTGAATAGCGAATTTATACATATATANATATATATATATATATATATATTTACAATAGCTTTTGTATAGTATGTATGCAGCTATGTAACTATGTTAAATATGTATCTGTCACGGCAAAAATTAAGCTCAGGATTTTAAAATACTCTAAGGAAATATTTTACCATGTAAATTTATACAGATGAATATTATACTTCATGTATAAATATGAAGGAGAATTTTTTAGTATGCTGCAATGTAAAAATTATTTTAAAATGTAATAGAACAAGTTTTACCTCAATAAACAAGATGTCGTAAAGTTCATGGGCTGTGAGATATTCAGTTACGTAGGCTTGTGTTTGTATCGTTAGATATTTATACAATTCCTGAAAAATAAAAATAAAATAAAAATTTCTTTCAAGAACTGAGATGATTTAAACTTTAAGTAGAGTTGAATCGAAATTTTACCTTAACAGTTCCATCCAGTTTATTAACTCTTTGACGCAGATGGGACACCGGTGTCCCTTTTATATATTATTTTCTGGACACTCTAATTACAGACAAAAATGCATTTTGCTTTATTTTTAATTACAAAAAAAGGCTAATAGTACGACAGAAATCTGTATTTTTTTTAAAAAATATATATATAATCCAAAATAAGTAGTTTTTTTATTATTATAATATGCATAAATTTATCATTAATTGATTTTGTAAATTAAGGAATTTTCAATGAGAAATAAATGTTCTTCATAGACCTATATAACTACATATAAGTGTAAATTTGAAAAAATATTTTTATAAAATGAACAGTGTTTAGAAACTTTTAACCCTAATACAGAAACAGACACCGGTGATTCATGTTGTGTTTCATAACTATAGAGTATTAAAATGCTAAATATACATATTTTTCTATTATTTTGACTTAAACTAATACAAAATAATGAAAAATGTTTTTAATATTTTTCAGTGAATATCTTTTTTTTAATTCCTACTATTTATTCACAATCTCCATATATCTTATTCAAATTTTCAATCGTTAATAAAATACTTTTTATTCATCCACTTAAGTTCAAATAAATTTTTTTGAACTTTTAGTGGATGACACTTGACATTAATCTAGTTTTTTTCAAATATTAATTCATTCACTAAATAGGGCTGAGTTGAAAACGAAATGCAATTTTCTGATTGGTTAAACATTTGTCAATGTTTTAAATTTTACCAAAAGCAATTCATATTTTTCACATATTTTAAAGATAACATCAGTGATGATTTCTAATGCATAGCTCTATTTGAACAAAAAAATAGTTTATTGCTCACATTTAAATATTTAATTATTTTAGATTCGCTGTGTTAGATAAATTCAATAAAGCACAATAGGTGGCAGCACGTGTGGTCCATGTCACCAAATTTATACTTTTACAGTTGCCTGATACCATGAGACCTATTTTGGATCTAAAATGTTTACCGTTCTCTCACAAAAAGATAAACTACTCCTTAAATATCAAAATGATTATTTAATTAATAGCTTTAAATGAATATTTTGATACGAATTCGACCCATGACTCTAATTTGTTTTTCGAATCAGTCGATTCTTTTGGCTAGAATTTGTTTTTTTTAAACAAAAACAGGTTTATTCCTTTTAAAACAATTTTCTTCTTTTAATCAGTTCGATGATTTGATCAGTTTTATAAATTATATTGGTTTAAATTATAGAGTCATGTGGTGTCATTGGATTCAGCTTACTTAAAGTATTTTCTTTTTTTTCCAATATTCACTGCTTAGTTTCTATAGCATATTTCAATAAAACATTATATTATTTTAAATCATGAATAATTATACATGACTCACTTTATGTTTAGCGTTAAATTCTTTATTAGACGGAGTGTTCAGTTGCCTGTTTACTTCTCTTTGAAATGCAGGACAATATGTGCTTCCTAAAAACTGGAAGAAAAAAAAGCAAAACGTAAAATTATCAATTCTACAGATTTTTAAAGTTAACTTATTTGACGAATTAACCTTACTTTATCTAAAGCCATAGGAATTGAAGTTATAGGTATGGGTTGCCAATTCAAATCATTCTCAAATTTCCATTCCGGAGTGGGAGCGAAGAATGATGCAAAATTTGCCTCTGCACTCTCCAAACAACGATCGACATCGGTACTCACAGCATCGACCTAGAAAAGAAAAGGAAACACATCAAAGGCTATTTTAGAAAGAAGAAAAAAAACTACCGATTTTTCAGCAAACCAAGTATCAAGGGAGAGTTTAGGGGGAAAAAAATTGTTATTATTATTGTTGTTGGCCTTCATTAAAGTAGCTTGATTTAAAGCCCGAAAGCAATAACTCTGCTGAGCCCAAACTAATATTTCCTATAAGTGAAACCTACACATCACTTAGTACTCAGAGGAAACGCAGTAAACTGGTGCAGTAGGGGAAATTAAAGAAAATGTCGAAGCCTACGGACTTCTAAGCAGCGCATTGGCGAAAATTGAGGATGAAGTGGCAACCTTCAGACTACCAAAGGATCGGATATCTCGTTTATGGTAACCCATACCTTCTCTCTTCTAGGAAGGGTTGACCGAACTCGATCAAATTTGCAGTTGTTTACTATTCAGACCGTAGTAATTCTAAACAGCGCAGTGGCGAGAATTGCGGATGATGTGGCAACCTTCAGTACTACTTTCTACTACCAAAGGATCGGATATCTCGTTTATGGCAACCCATACCTTCTCTCTTCTAGAAAGTGTTAACCGAACTCGATCAAATTTGCAGTTGTTTACTATTTAGACCGTAGTAATTCTAAACAGCGCAGTGGCGAGAATTGAGGATGATGTGGCAACCTTCAGACTACCAAAGGATCGGATATCTCGTTTNGATGTAACGAGCCCTCATCCCCAGATGTCATCCCAGAAAACTACCCCCAGATGGCGCCACTGGCGCATCAGAAGTATTAACTTTTTATTTTTCAAGAACTTAAAAACAGTAGAAGTAGATGTAATGTAACTAGAGACGCGCCATGCAGCGCTAATGCCTAACTAAATGTTTTCATCACTTTATAATCATCATTTACCATTTCATGTAAATTCATCTTCATCTATTTGTAATTAAAACCAATAAAGGTTAATGAATCATCAAATTGGCGGTCAAAAGGTAAGTGGAACATTTTCCACTATTCATATTGAAAACAGGAATTCATTAGATTGAACACATACCTTCTCTCTTCTAGGAAGTGTTAACCGAACTCGATCAAATTTGCAGTTGCTTACTATTTAGACCGTAGTAATTCTAAACAGCGCAGTGGCGAGAATTGAGGATGATGTGGCAACCTTCAGACTTCCAAAGGATCGGATATCTCGTTTATGGTAGCCCATACTTTCTCTCTTCTAGGAAGTGTTAACCGAACTCGATCAAATTTGCAGTTGTTTACTATTTAGACCGTAGTAATTCTAAAAAGCGCAGTGGCGAGAATTGAGGATGATGTGGCAACCTTCAGACTCAAAAGATCGGATATCTCGTTTATGGTAACCTATACCCTCTCTTCTAGGAAGTGTTGACGGAACTCGATCAAATTTGCAGTTGTTTACTATTTAGGCCGTAGTAATTCTAAACAGCGCAGTGGCGAGAATTGAGGATGATGTGGCAACCTTCAGACTATCAAAGGATCTGATATCTCGTTTATGGTAACCCATACCTTCTCTCTTCTAGGAAGTGTTGACAGATCTCGATCAAATTTGCAGTTGTTTACTATTTAGGCCGGGATACTTTGGTACAGGGTACTTTAATTTTTAAAAGAAAAATAATTAATATTTTACCATCACCTTAAAACAACGCCCTAGTGCCAAAATTACCATTTTATTTTAAATTTTCTTAGGGTTTAATGTTAAAAATCAACATTTTACATTCATTTTGATATTGCCAACCGCATTTACGATCATAATTGCATTTTATAAATTACTTAAGTTACCATGTATAGAAATTAGTTATAGACGTGGTTCAACAGTATACAATACTGTCAATGAAAGGAAAGAAAAAAAACAATGTTTTTAAAATTACTATCAATTGAAGCAATAACGTAGTATTTACTATAGACAAAACTAACTGACGTTAGTGAAAATATTTCACCGTGAATGCTCAAACATGCAGTAGAAAGAATTAATTATACTGTTAATACAGTTCCATCGATTGACAAAATTCAAATTTTTTTTTTTTTTTTTTTTTTTTTTTTTTTTTTTTTTTTTTTTTTTTTTTNTTTTTTTTTTTGAAATTTAGTGGGAAAAGTTTCTTATTTTCTAAGCAAAATACTACAAACCATTCATTTCTATTTCTTCCAGTTTTTTCTTAATTGAGTTTTTCAAATAGTTGGTCATTTTTTATACAACCAATAAGACAATGTATGAAAACGCGAAATTGATAAATAAAGTTTTGAAAATCGAACTAAATTAATAAGCTAGAGTCCTAATAATGGACCACCACATTCTGGGATGCAGCTTTAATAATTCGAGTAGTTAACTTTTTGCTTAGTTATTAAGGCAAACGATATTTTAATTTACGAAATTACACACCAAAACGTTCATTCTCTAAATTAACATACCTTCTTTTTTCGACCTAGGATTCTTGACCCTTAGAATATGACGGGTGGCAGCTGCATGGAATGCGTGGTTCTATTAGTTTTATCAATAGAGTGTTCGAACTTAAATATTTTCGTACCATAATAATATTTTTACTTTTAGTCTACTTTTCTAAATCTCCGGAAATATTTAGAACTCCTTCAAAAAATTTACGCTGTAAACTTATTTATCCAAACAAAGGATTACACAAAATATAATTTTTTAAGATTATTCATTCTTTTTTATTATTAAACTAGTTTTTCTGGAGAAAAAAATTGAATTGTAAGCTTTCAATTAAATTTCGAAGCTTATACAAAAACTGCGAAAGTTAAGTGACGAAATGTAAAGTTTGAATGAAATTGATGAATACTTGTAAAGTAATGAAATTTTAAAAAATATCGTATTTTTAAACTTAAATTTATAAATAAATGTTGGTCCAATTTTTGCTCACATTTTATATTCTGTAATACATATTTGCGTAACTAGAAATGATGTAAAATTTTTTACACCTTGCAATTCTAAATTTTTTCGACATTTTTTATAAATTAAAATACAAAATGTAATTAGCGATTATAAAAAAAATCTATAAATTTTCAGAGAATTTTGGAAAAAAAAAGAGTTCTATAAATGTTTCCGGAATAACTTTTGAATATCTTCAATAGCTTCAGAGTTATGTGGAATAAACAAAACGGAAAATTAAAATCAACTGGTCCAAACTTTTAACCTCACTAAATTATTGGGACTATAATTTCCAGTGGTGGCTGTCTCCCACATATTTTGATTAAAAATCCAAATCAGTCAGGGAAAAATTTTGATTGTTAAGGGAAAAGTTCGTTTTGTACCTGATTTCTTATATTTAAATATCGTCTGTATAAATGAATTAGCATATTCAATCAGCAAGATTGCAGTTTAATACGTGAAAATCCAATGAGATGTCTGCAAGTGACGTAGTGTAAGTATCTCGATCCGGATTGGTTGTTCAGTTGTGGCATTTATTTAAGTTAGCAACTGTTCTTTCGAGTCAACTAAATCTGTCAAGTATCAATTCTTTTTAGCGACGCATTCTATATTTTTTCACAAAGATTCTTGCACAAAGATTCTTTCACAAAGATTTCAATTCTTCCACTATATATTTCCTACTTAACACAAAGACAGGCATGAAGTAATGTATAACATAAACAAACTAATTATACATCAAAGTTGCAAGGTACGCAAACAAAAATGTAATGAGAATCGCTATCCTGATTGGTTGCTGAGTTGTGGCATTTATTTAAGTTAGCAATTGTTCTCTCGAGTCAACTAAATCTGTCAAGTACCAATTCTTTTTAGCGACGCATTCTATATTTTTGCACAAAGATTCTTGCACAAAGGTTCATTCACAAAGATTTCAATTCTTTCACTACATACTTCTTACTTAACACAAAGACAGGCATGAAGTAATGTATAACGTAAACAAACTAATTATACATCAAAGTTGCAAGGCACGCAAACAAAAATGTAATGAGAATCGCAATCCTGATTGGTTGTTGAGTTGTGGCATTTATTTAAGTTAGCAATTGTTCTTTCGAGTCAACTAAATATGTCAAGTATCAATTCTTTTTAGCGACGCATTCTATATTTTTGCACAAAGATTTCAATTCTTTCACTATATATTTCTTACTTAACACAAGGACAGGCATGAAGTAATGTATAACATAAACAAACTAATTATACATCAAAGTTGCAAGGTACGCAAACAAAAATGTAATGAGAATCGCTATCCTGATTGGTTGCTGAGTTGTGGCATTTATTTACGTTAGCAACTGTTCTCTCGAGTGAGCTAAGTCTGTCAAGTATCAATTCTTTTTAGTGACACATTCTATATTTTTGCACAAAGATTCTTGCACAAAGATTCTTTCACAAAGATTTTAATTCTTTCACTATATATTTCTTACTTAACACAAAGACAGGCATGAAGTAATGTATAACATAAACAAACTAATTTTACATCAAATTTGCAAGGTACGCAAACAAAAATGTAATGAGAATTGCTATCCTGATTGGTTGTTGAGTTGTGGCATTTATTTAAGTTAGCAATTGTTCTTTCGAGTCAACTAAATATGTCAAGTATCAATTCTTTTTAGCGACGCATTCTATATTTTTGCACAAAGATTCTTGCACAAAGATTCTTTCACAAAGATTTCAATTCTCTCACTATATATTTCTTACTGAACACAAAGACAGGCATCAAGTAATGTATAACGTAAACAAACTAATTATACATTAAAGTTGCCAGGTACATAAACAAAAATATATCACGGTTACAATAAAATACAAAAACAGATGATAAATCTAAGTTAAGTAAAAGACGCAGACGAGAAAGAATTATATTTCAACAAATTCGATGTGCGATATGGAGCTGTATTTAATCAACATTCTAACTCATGTGGAGAAACTTAGCTCAATTCTAACATGCCATTTTTCTTATGAACAATCAGCTTGTGCTAACGTTATAGGTTCAATGTGTGGGTGTCCGTAATCTTCTTCTTCTTCTTCTTTGATAGCAAGCACTCAATTATTAGATCGAAATCAACGAAACAGATCCGTGTATTTACTTTGTAAACTATACATCAAAAATATTATTCGTATCTATTACACGAAAACATGGAAAAAATATAGATCATCGTGCATAAAATCTCACCTCGGTTGGCTTGGTAGTCAAGAAACCACGATACATTTCTCGAAAAAGTTTTCCTAATGAATAATGTTCTCTTTTACCTTGCTGAAAGGAAATGAGAAACAAATTAAATAGAATAAAAATATCTTAAAAGGTTTCATATTTTTATATAAAATTGCCTATGGTATTTATTGCTCCAAAAATGGTGAATAATTATAAATAATGGCAAACTTCTCAGAACTAAAATATTTAAGAACTTTCGTTCGTAAAGCCAAATAAAGAAAAGGAGGTAGGAATAAGGTTAGATAAAGATATGAATTTTTCTTTCCTACGCCACGACATTAGTTCAATGCTTCTGAAGCTAATTTTCGGTTAGATGTCTTTATTAGTTAAAATTGTAGTTAAACACTAAATAATATTTATGTTGTCTACAGATTCTTAGAAATTGTCAATGTCCAGAGCTCTGATGCCTCCAAGAACAACATTCTCTTCTATTTATTACATAATGTTAGTTCAAAAGGATTTGAGGTAATGAAGAAATCATTTAAGCTTTTATTTTTAAGATAAGAATTTTTCTTCCCGATGGCATGACATTAGTTAAATTCTTCTGATGATAATTTCTGGTTAAGAGTCTTTATTAGTAAGAGTTATAATTATAAATAAAATAATACCTGTATTGTCATTAAGTTCTAAGAAATTGTCAATGTTCAAAGTTCAGTTGTTTCAAAGTACAGCATTAATTCCTATTTGTTGCATAGCGTTTTTTCAAATGCATTTGAGGTATACAAGTAGAAATTACAGTATGTTTCTGTTTAGAACAACCAGAAGGAGCAAACCATGCTGCGCCGCGCATGCGCGAACTGTTGCAAGGTGGTAAAGCATTGATCAGACAAATGACTGTTGTTGTTGTTTAAACCTTTTTTATATCCACACATAAAAGTTTCAAAAGGAAATAATATTTTAAAATTTCACATTTTCTTTTTGTATATGCAAAGATGGATACATACTATTATCAAAAACTCTAAGAATATGGAATATATAAACATAAAAAGATAGACAATGCTAAACATTTACAGATCAGATTAAATAAAGAAAGGTGAACAGAATGCAATGATTAAATTTAAAATCTAGAAATTGTATTTAATTAAAAGGCGAAAAAATGGAATTCAGAAAACTTACCCAAGTTAAGGATCCTAAACCTAGTGGCCAAACAGATGCTGGATTTGGATCCGTCGGATATAGTACCTCTGGAGCGCGATCACCATGCCGATACATCTATAAATATCATATCAAAAAAATAAACACAATCAATGCCTTAAATTGAAATACAATTATACACAGTCCAGTTCCATTAATGTGACCACCATCTACTTTCGACGTCAACGTGAAGTAACCAATCACAGAAGGCAAGTTTCGGCACATTACAGTGGAGTGTATATAAAGGATGTCCTAGAGCAGGGCTGTCCTACTGGAGGCCAGCAGGCCGCATGCGGCCCTCCAACACATATTGGGCGACCCGCCAACTTCTTATTCAGGCAGATCGGTCTCAGTTTTCCCATTAAAATGCAAACAAATTGTTTTATAATCCTTCTGTTCCATTATTTTATAATTAATAATTCAACTATTAATTGTTATTGTATAAGAGGTAAGAGGTTATTGTTCATTTTTTTCAAACTGCGCCAAGCCCATTTTACTTGGCTTGTCCGTCTGGTCAAACGGTAAATAACTACAAACTAAATTTGCAAATATTAGACAGATTTTACGAGTATTTTTAAAAGGTTTAGCATGACATAATTGAAAAGGGTGGTGAAATATATAAGCCTACTAATCGTTTAGAAATAGTGGTTGATACAAATCTACTAAATTGAATTTATTAAACCAAGAATCACTGTTAATAAACTACCACTTGAAAATATTTATTCGCTGTCCGGAGCAAGTTGGCATCTCTGTGTACATAAATAAAACTATTTTTGTGTATTCTATACTGCATTAACTTCTTCAAACTCTTTTAGTATCAATAATAATATTAAAAATTTACTCAAATTATGTCTTTTTAAAAACCTTGGCTTCGCTGGTCACCGGTGACCCCCGTGTTGCTACGAACCAACTCAGTGCCGGTCACCGGTTACCCCCATGGCATTCAACGTGTTAAAGAGCTGAGAATAAGAAGCATGTTTGTGACAATATTTTAAAACGAATTTGCAATTTCTCGGATAAAATTCTTATTTTAGTTTCATTTAAATATATAACGTTTATATATATTGCTAAATCTGTCAATTCCGAAAGTACTCTGTGAAAAACAGAAGCAAGTGACACTATTGAGACAACATTTTTGACTCCTGTTGATCATCAGATAAGTGTCATTATTTTTTTTTTTTTTAAAAATTGAGATTTCTCGGAAATTTTTTTTATTATAGTCTTATTTAAATATGTAACATTTATTTATATTGATAAATGTATTTATCTACCAGAAACCATGTTTATTTCTCAATATATTCACCAGATGGCAGCATCAGACTATTTGCAATGTGTTAACAAATAATTTATTTTAAATGTCAGCACTCATAAAACATGTACGCTAAAAATTAAAAATGAATGCATAGTTTGTACGTACATTTAATTTCATATAATTTTCTTTTATGAAAGATAGGCATTTTTGTAACCGTTTAAAAGGTTAAGAAAACACATAACTATTAATGGGTTAGATATAAAAACATTCTCCTTACAATTTTTCTTTTTTTAGTTAGAATATCAACAAAAAAACTAAAAGATTTACAGCTAGGACTATAAATTAAAACATCAACCAAAAAACTTAGGATCTTATCTTTATTTTTAAAAAAATTTATATCAATCTAAAGATAATTTCAACTTTTTTTGTCATATAGTCTAGCACGGTGTTATTCTGTTGAGATTTTCTCACAATTGCAAATATTCGCATCTTGGTAGAACTTATTTTTGCATACCAAATTTTGTCAAAACTTCCAAAATATGTCTGGGAGCTATGGTCCTTTTGATATGGAGCGCAAACATTAAAGAAGCGTATCCAGGCTAAACTCGTAGAATTCAATGAAACTAGAAAAACTTATATAATTAACTAGATAAACCACATTAAAAAAACGCAACTTCTAAGTTGCATGACAAGGGGAGTAAAATATTGACGAAAATTAAGTTATGGTTACCAAAATCATGTAAGGATTTTTAATTTTTGAAAACTAAATAAAAATGCAATAAGTTTCAACAATTTTATACAGAATTTACAAAAGTATTGTATGGAAAACCTATCTCTAAAATCATATCATTTGGAAATTAAAAAAAAGATGTCTTTCATATGCATATCCAGTATTTCATAAAAAAAAATAATTAGTTATAATTGAATTAGATGGATTACATTCTTAAAAATTAAATGTATCGCAAATATGAGGCTCATTTAATAAGTGCATAAAAGATAAGTAAATATTCCCTCAATTACATCGAGTAAATACTGTGATCGCTCAGGCTTCCATACAAGAATCGATAACATCAAGAATAAAATTACTCAGATTTTCAAAATGATCAAGATGTTTATCTGTGTAATAACAGGCGTGCAGTGAGTAATTCCTCATGTTTAAACAGCGTGTGAGAAATGATTGTGATCAATGAATGGTATTTTACCATGTTTATATCAACTTGCTTTGGTGTATGTCTGTTCGGGTGGAATTTTGTA